GGGGGGGAGTGGTTTGGGGGTGTCCCCGCCGGCCGGGGAGGCACCGCCGCGGGGGCCGGGGGTCGCGCGTGGAGCTGGGCGTTTTTCTTGCTATTGCAAAGCGTCACCATTTGTGGGGAAACGGCCTTTTGGAGACGTGCGGACCTCGCTCCCCGGTTGCTGCCCTAGAGCCTGCGCTGGATTTTGGGGGAGGCTGAAGCTGCCTCCTGCGGCTCCCGTTGGAGACCACACTCTTCCTCAACAGCCCCATTCAAACGGAGACCGTGTGCCTAAAACCCGTGCCAGCCGTGCTCGACCGGCGCCGCTTTGGTACTTTCGGTTCCTCCCAAGGCACCGAAAGCAGGGACTTTGCCCGGGGAAGGGGCCGGCACGAGGATTTTCTCATCCTCGCGGATTCCCCAGCCCGTCCCCCAGTGCTGCGGGGAGCTCCCCTGCAGCTCAGCCGGCTGCCGCGGTGTCCGCCCCGCTGCCGCCCCACTTATCAAGCTACGGTCAGGCCTGTTTAGTGAGCACACGCCGCCGGTGATCCCGGCTAATCTGAGCTGAAGCACAGACCCAGGAGATTAACCAGGTCTTGACTAAATATATCCCCGGTGCAGGCGGCTCCTTCCTCCCCACCCACCGCAGGCAGATCCCCGCTCCGAGCAGGCTCTCGTTACACCGCGCGGGAGGTAATTATAGCAGACAGGCTCCCACAGAGCCTCCCGCCGGAAGGGTTTGAAAGCAATGCTTGCGCTCGGCCCCGAGCGGCAGCCTCACGCCCTTCCCAATTTGCCTCGCCGGCTCGTTAACGACGCGCAGCCGGAGCGGAGCGTGCTCGGTCCCAGGTCCTATGCCCATTACGGCTTGCGGGTTTTAATTGCCCTTGCTCACAGGCAACGAGCGCGGCTCCTGACAGAGGCATTCCTCCCAGCCCCGCGCGACCACCTCGGGTCCCGGGACGGAGCAAACAAGCTCAGTCCTGCCCGTATCGTACTCGGAAGCAGCCTGACGTCCCCAGAGAACAGGAGCGCTTCGTGGGGCGGGAGCTGTCATTGTTTAACCTGCTTTACAGAGCCAAGGTTTCCTCAGGACCCCACGGCTGCGGCTCAGGAAAACTCGCCAGGCTGTTTTCCTCACCCGAGCAGCTTCCATGGAAATAAAGCATCTCCCGTGCAGCTCCGGGAGCCCCCGCGCCGCTGGCATCAGCGCTCGGCTCTGCTTCAACGCCGGGAGCGAGCCCAGACGTCCAGCGCCAGATGCAATAGCAAGCTTCCAACGACAGAAACTCTGGCCAAAATCTTACCCGGGCAGCTCCGCGGGGCCCGACAGCTCCGCCCGGGGCTCCAGAGGC